GTGTCTTTTTCCCTCCTGCCCGGTGCAGCTTCCCTCTGTCGTCCCCCAGCCGCCTGCCCCCGACCCCCGCTGAGGGTGGGGGCTCGGCGCTGGGTGTGCGCTGCGGAGAAGCTGGTGGGTAGTGCTGGAGACAGGACAGCGGCGTCGCTTTGCCCGTGAAAGATGGTCTGGTGGCCGCTCTCGAGAACGTGCTACTCAAATTTAAAAACTTTCTAGTCACGAGGCCTTAACTCGCTCCTCGACAAAAGGAAAAGCAAACCCAGGGGTCTTGTGTTGGGAAGGCGGTGGCCAGGCGCCTCCTAAGTGCTGCCCGCCCGCTGAGGCAGTGCCTTCCTGGCCAGGGCCTGGTGGTGCCCGGGTCTAGGCCTGGCCTGGCCGAGTGTCGTTAACTGAGGTGCCGTTGTGGCAGAGGTGCCGAGGACGTGGGTCCCTGTTGCTCTGCCAGGCGGCATAGGGGGTTCCTACCCATCGGTTGTGCGGGTTCAGCTGCATGGGTGCCTACCAAACTGGGTTTGTGGGTTGTTTTAGCTTTCAGAGCGTCTTTCAAGCTAAATATTTGTGATTGAGTCAACTGTAGCGTTTGTGCTGTTACTGAGAAAGTGACTGTGTTGGGGCAGCTGTTGAAAGCCGCTTAAATCAGATTTTCTCTCAGAGAAATAATACGCAGTTACATACTAGACCTGGTTTCAGAACCAGGTTTTCTGCAACTCCTGTTCGCCTTTGCCTTTAGGTCAGTGTAAAATGAAAGATAAAACTCGTGAGGCAGAATTCTTTAAGCATAGTTTTTCCACATTCTGTATGAAAATAGAAAAACTTGCACTATAAACAGAACTGGTGGTTTAAAACTCTGTTTAGTAATAAAGTAGGCTTACTTTTTGCTTGTGAGTATGTGTGTATGCGCACATATGTATATTAATGGGATGACTAACAGTCACATTAATGTATTTTGAGAAGAGAGCGGTTTGATTGGTGTTATCTGAGGTAGACAATTGATAAAACAGTTCAGCGTGGTGCGTTATGACCTGCAGAAAGCACAGCATCAGTTATGGGGGATTATTACCAGGAGGGTCAGTGAAGCGTTTTCCACAATGGGGCCTGTGAGGACAATAGGCGTTGAGTTTCCTACAGGAGAATGACATCCTAGTTTTACAGTAGCTTAACTATAATGTATGCCTAAAGGAAACATGATGAAAATTCTCCAAAATGGATCAAAATTCAGTGCAGACATACATTTCATAGTTAAGTAGTCACAAATAATTCTCGTAGCAGTGTAATTATAGTATAACTCTGTCTGTATATGAGACTGATACTTAATATTAAAAAAAGGTTCTAATTGCAGTTTGGTGGTTTCTGTTACAGAATAGTTAAATTTTAAAATGCCGAAAACGAATGTGGAAAAAAAAGAAAAGAAGGCAGAAAAAAGAAAAAAGCTAAAGCAACGTGTGGCCCAAAAGGGAGAGCTGGAATCGGAAACTGAACCAAAGAAAAAGAAACAAAATCTGCAGGTAGGTTCTCCCAGTTTTGACTGTTTAATTTGATAAAAGGTGGATATATTGTTACCTGTGATGTGACGGGTTTCGAGATTCAGTACTGAATACCAATGTGCTATTTGATTCAGTTGCGATGTTTCCTTGCATGCAGAATACCAATGTGCTATTTGATTCAGTTGCGGTTTCCTTGCATGCAATATACCTAGAGTGAAAGTTAAAAGGAGACAATAAATTAAGCCGATACAATTGTAGCAGTCAGAGTACGTGATCTCTGTTTGTTTTGGATGCTTCTGTGAAAGATGGAGAATGGGTGAGAGAATGTGGGTGAAAGGTGAACCAAATGAATGGCTTTAAGCAACTGTCATATGGCAATATAGGCGTAGCTTCAGTCTTCATGTGATCCTGAGTGGTTGGAAAAACATGAAGGATGTTTTCTTGGAAATCCTCTTGATTTTTGGACAGAATGTCAAGTGACCAGAAGGTGTCAGCAGTTTCTTTGTATTACTGAACATTTTATGAATTAATTTTATGAGAATGAAATTAGCAATATCGGGATGTTATTTGAGTGGAAACTTAGAGCTGTAAGTTTTTTGTGATGGAAATGATACATAAACAGGGCAGTTTAATTCTGCTGTTCTGAGTGGTTACTGTAGAACGTGGATCAAAGAAATATGAAGCGGTTTGATACTGTCAAGAGGCGGAGAAGGAAAGGCAAAGGTCTTAAAAATGGTCTTAAAAACTCTCTTATGTTTCCTGGCCTAATATAAAATAGATGTGAAAGCTGCTTGTTACTTCATTTATCGTGAGATGTATCGCTCAATGGAGATCATATAACTAAAAAGTAGTGCTTCTTATTTTGTTATTAGACTTTATTTAAGCTCATTGGCAAGAATATTTTTTGAGAGCTTTTGCATGCATAAGTGTCTCTAGCTATTACATTTAAAGTTTGTGAAGCATAATATAAGAAACGCCAACCTATTGGCAGTAGCTATTCAGAGGTCTGTAAATTCTTGCGGTTTTGAACTCAGCAGAAATATCCCTAAGTAAAGTAGGGAAAGATTGCATCTTTGTCTATATCAAAGCAAAAATAGAAAATCTGGTATTTAGAGCTTAATCAGAGGGAATGTTTCTGCTCTCCTTTATATGGTGTGTATTACAGACTTCAGATTCACAGTACTATAATTCAATTTGAGTAAAAACAATTTTCCAGGATAAAACAGTGTGAAATCGGAATGTCAACATTAAAATTGTATTGCCTGTGACAATCTGTATAATTTAATGTAAAAATGGAAAAAAAAATCCCAAGTGGGCTTCAAACCCCTAGCAAGTGGGGCCTTTTTGGACCGTCTGATGTCAAGTGATAAGTTCTTAGAACCCCCAAATTAGTTTTTGTCGGCCATGCAGACTGTAGGACTGTGAAAGAAAGAGCAAATATTAAATGGAAAGAAGAATCCTTAATACTATTAGGGAATACCACTAGGCACAACAGTTCTTAGAATTATAAAAGTTGGTGTCAGTGGGTGGCTTAAACATGTATATAGTGTTAGTTTTAGGGAATACCATATAAGGTCTATGCAAGCCATTTTTTGGCATCAGCTTTATAAACTGTAACTGTTTGATAGTAGGAAAGCGTAAGTTAGGAGACCACATTTTTTTGTTTGAAATTGCTGTTGAGAATGAAAAATGTTAGGCAGACCTTAAACAATTTTACTTCAGAAATGGTTAATGAAAGTTAGCTGTCTGCCAGTTTATGATGGTTACTTAGCATGTGTACTCCCAGCTTTGTGTGAAATACTTGGTTAAGTCACAATGGCAGTTATGCTTTAAAATGCTTTTGGACATCAAACCTTGTCAGCATGGAAAATGTGGTAGAAAACAAGGTAAAATTGCTTTGTGTGTACAGGAAGATCAGGAGGAACTCTGAGGCTGCAGTGATGCGCTTGGTTAGTCTGGATGGTTCCAAAGAAGAAATTTGGAACAAAAATAAAGGCAACTGCTGAGAGCGTGTGTTTATTCTGCAGCCTTAGTTTCTTTAATTTTATTTCTGTTACTTTAAAATAAGCCAGAACCTTGATAGATCTACAGAAATTCCTGAAGTATGACAACTGGATTCTAATGAACTTTGATTGACTTTTAATGCAGTAACTGAATTAAAGAAAACTTTTTTGGCATTCTTTAAGGACGGATAGACTCCAGTTTCTCCTAAGGAGTCTCATAGGTGATGGAAGGAAGTCGAAAGATAGCTATATAATAGCTATATACATATAATATACATTGCTTTTGGTGGGAGAGAGGTTTCACTGGTTCATTAAGTCACTTTACTTTCCTGTGATTTACGAAAGATAGCTATATAATAGCTATATACATATAATATACATTGCTTTTGGTGGGAGAGAGGTTTCACTGGTTCATTAAGTCACTTTACTTTCCCGTGATTTACTTTTTTTTTCTATTCTAGTACAGCAATTTTAGTCTCCAAAGTGGAAAATGTAAATATCTAATTGATTTTGTTATAGAGCTGCAGGCAGGCAAGTTGAAATGTCTTAACTGACTGGATTTAGTGTACATTGATCATTCCTTCATGAAATTTGTTTCAAAAATTCTTACCAGCCTAAGACTAAAGCATTTTTTCTTGGAACAACTTGACCTTTCAGAGTAATCTCGATGTTTTATTGATTTTCATCTACTCAATTTCTTCTGTTTACATTAAATAGCAATGAGCAATTCAAGACCAATATAAATGTTTTCATGAATGATCTTAGAACCGCACAGCTCTAAATGACACATCTCTAGTGGAGCTGAGCAGTACAAGTTTTTAAACTTAATTCAGTCTTGTGTTTTTTCTGACAGATTTTCATAATGTTACTGTTTTATTTAGCTACTTGGCAATAAACCCCACATTTACATTAAATAGCAATGAGCAATTCAAGACCAATATAAATGTTTTCATGAATGATCTTAGAACCGCACAGCTCTAAATGACACATCTCTAGTGGAGCTGAGCAGTACAAGTTTTTAAACTTAATTCAGTCTTGTGTTTTTTCTGACAGATTTTCATAATGTTACTGTTTTATTTAGCTACTTGGCAATAAACCCCACATTTAACAAAAAACCCCCCTATTTAAAACTTTATTTTTTTTTTTTTTTTTTTTTTTTTAATGCCTGGACATTAGTTTTACTTGTTTTCTAACGATTTTGTAGTTTCCTACCATACTCGTATGTTAAACCTTCCTATAATTGGAGATTATTCTTTTGAATTGTCACATAACATAGGCATAAAGAAAAGCAATTTAAAATGTGCCATCTAGACTGGTGGTCTGAAGTTAAATACTGGCTTCTTAAATAAAGACTTTCTGATGGACCTTGTCTGAGACAAATTAATTTTGTTTCAGTTCTCTGAAAAAAATATTTACAATATTGCTAATGTGTAATCTTGAAATAACAGCAGCATTAGAAGTGCTTGTTTGCAATTACCTGTGTCTTACTTCTGTTTATGGGTTTCTTCACCCTTCAAAATTTCAGCTGCCTTAATGCCATGAAGCTTATCGAAACAGCAGTACTGACACAACACTGTAGGTAGGGAACAACATGTTGTGGTTGCTTTGTTTATGAAGGCTATTTGAGTTCTACCCACAATGACCTTACTGTATCAAAGGATCTTTTAACCTTGTAATTTAAGGGTAGATCTTGTTTCTCCAGTGCTGTTTTCAGAGCTGTGGGCTTTCTACAGAACAGTAAGAAATTTGTCCGGAGTTGAACATCTATTGGGCAAGACTCAAAATCCATAATCCATAGAACACAATATTATTTTCCTGTTTCTTCCCAATTTAGTCTAGCAAACATTGTAACTTTAAGGAAAATTACAATGACTAAGAGGCAATCAATCTTTATAAATCAAATCCTGTTGTTCATGGTTGAAGGGTACTTTAGGTAATGCTCATACAGTCAGTGAGTGTTTCCTTGTATGTTCCTTGTTATCTTCAGCATTGCAAATGGTTGGAGGAGGAAGAATCAACATTTTCCCCAGATAAAGGCAAAATCAGTGGGAAAGGAATTTAATTTTTGAGATTCCATACAGATAGTACAAACAATGGCAAGTAAACAAGTAGCTCATGGTGTTTCTTTAATCAGAGGGCTAGTGTGCAGGTGCCCAAACAGTAAGATCTGTTTACTAAATGGAAAATGGCAAAATTAGCAGGGAAAGGGTTTTTCTGTTCAGCTTTTTGGAGGTTATCATAAAGGCCAATAAGGAGTTATTAAGCTAGTACTACAGCAAAGCAAACCACAAAAAATTACTCTTTAAAATCGTTGTTTGCTTGTAGTGGTGGAAAACCCCATAAAACTATGTTTAGGCTATGGAGACAAACGTTTTGGCATGAGCTTGGTGGAATAGCTAGGAATGCTACTTTGATACGATCTCTAATGCTGCTTGTAATCAGGTAACTGGGGTAGTAATTTGACTGTTTAGTGAATGCAAACTAGACATTCATGCTACAAAACCTATCAAGCAGATACTGTAAAGCTATCATCGGAAAGTGTATTTATTTATTTGACAACCCACTAATTCATACCAAAGCCTGTTGTTGAAATAATGAGTTGTGGATGATTTGCAAACAAACTCAGTAATCCTTTATTGTGCCATTAATTTATTTTTTTTTAATTAATGGGAAACTTGTCTTGTAACCATCAAAATAACTTGTTTTGTATTTTTCCCATCCTAAAAAGTGCCATGAAGTTACAACTTAGTGTGATGTTGCAGAATTTTCTTCTGATTACCAGGCTATCAATATTAGATGTATCTTATATACATTAAAAATATATTTTGGAAACTGCTTGCATTGCAATTCCACTATCAACTCTTCCTGCATTTGTTTAGTTTTGCTTTACTAGCTTAATTCTCTGTTTGTATGCATTAGTTTTATCCGTGGTTATTAATTTTTGTTTGTTTAAGAAATATGTAGAAAACCAATCTTAAATTTTGAAAAAAGGAAAATAAATTCCAAAAAGTTCATTTTATTT